TTTGTGTCAACCCTCAAGGTGGTGTAGTGTTTGTGTCAGCCATCAAGGTGTGAAGTAACCATCAGGTGTGGTGTTTGTGTCAACCATCAAGGTGTGTTGTTTGTGTCAACCATCAAGGTGTGGTAACCATCAAGGTGTGTGTGTCATGCATCAAGGTGTGGTGTTTTGTGTCAGCCATCAGGTGTGGTAACCATCAAGGTGTGGTGTTTGTGTCAACCATCAAGGTGTGGTGTATGTGTCAGCCATCAGGTGTGGTGTTTGTGTCAACCATCAAGGTGTGGTGTTTGTGTCAACCATCAAGGTGTGGTGTTTGTGTCAACCATCAAGGTGTGGTGTTTGTGGCTTCGCCATCAAGGTGTGGTGTTTGTGTCAACCATCAAGGGTGTGGTGTTTGTGTCCAGCCATCAGGGTGTGGTGTGTTTGTGTCAACCATCAGGGTGTGGTAACCATCAAGGTGTGGTGTATGTGTCAACCATCAGGTGTGGTGTATGTGTCCAACCATCAGGGTGTGGTGTTTGTGTCAACCATCAAGGTGTGGTAACCATCAGGTGTGGTGTTTGTGTCCAGCCATCAGGTGTGGTAACCATCAAGGTGTGGTGTTTGTGTCGAAAGCCATCAAGGTGTGGTGTATTGTCAGCCATCAAGGTGTGATTACTGTCAGCCATCAAGATTAGTGTTTGTCAACCATCAAGGTGTGGTAACAGCATCAAGGTGTGGTGTTTGTGTCAACCATCAGGTGTGGTGTTTGTGTCAGCCATCCAGGTGTAATTGTTTGTGTCAACCATCAAGGTGTGGTGTTGTCAGCCATCAAGGTGTGGTGTTTGTAACCATCAAGGTGTGGCGGTGTTTGTGTCAGCCATCAGGTGTGGTAGCTATCAAGGTGTGGTGTATGTGTCAACCATCAGGTGTAGTGTATGTGTCAACCATCAGGTGTGGTGGTGTTTGTGTCAACCATCAAGGTGTGGTAACCATCAAGGTGTGGTGTTTGTGTCAACCATCAGGTGTGAAGCTTGGCAACCATCCCAAGGTGTGATGTTTTGTGTCCAACCATCAAGGTGTGGTGTATGTGTCAACCATCAAGGTGTGGTGTTTGTGTCAACCATCAGGTGTGTGTTTGTGTCAGCCATCGAGGTGTGGTGTTTGTCAGCCATCAGGTGTGGTAACCAACCAAGGTGTGTGTTTGTGTCAACCATCAAGGTGTGGTGTATGTGTCAACCATCAAGGTGTGGTGTTTGTGTCAACCCATCAAGGTCAGTGTTTGTGTGTCAACCATCAAAGGTGTGGTATTTAACCATCAAGGAATTATTGGTGTTTGTGTCAGCCCTTCAGGGTGTAGTGTTTGTGTCATGTCAAGGGTGTGGTGTTTGTGTCAGCCATCAAGGTGTGTTGTTGTGTCAGCCATCAGGTGTGGTGTTTGTCAACCATCAAATTAGTAATTGTTTGTGTCAACCATCAAGGTGTGGTGTTTGTCAACCCATCAAGGTAATTGTTTGTGTCAACCATCAAGGTGTGGTGTTTGTGTCCAACCATCAAGGTGTAGTGTTTGTGTCAGCCATCAAAGGTGTGGTAACCATCAAGGTGTAGTGTTTGTCAGCCATCAAGATTAATGGTGTTTGTCCCCTGTCAGCCATCAAGGTGGTAACCATCAAGGTGTGGTGTTTGTGTCAGCCATCAAGGTGTGGTGTTTTGTGTCAGCCATCAAGTTATTATTGTATGTGTCAACCATCAAGATTATTGGTGTTTATTGTCAGCCATCAAGGTGTGGTGTATGTGTCAACCATCAAGGTGTGGTGTTTGACCTTCAGCCATCAAGGTGTGATGTTTGTGTCAGCCATCAAGGTGTGAAATTATTTGTGTCAACCGTAAGGGTGTGGTGTTTGTGTGTCAACCATCAAGAGGTCTTAAGTTAATGTGTCAGCCATCAAGATTATTGTATGTGTCAACCATCAAGGTGTGGTGTTTGTGTCAACCCATCAAGGTGTAGTGTTTGTGTCAACCATCAAGGTGTGAAAGTAACCATCAAGATTCGTGGTGTTTGTATCCTGCATCAGGGTGTGGTGTTTTATGTCAACCATCAAGGTGTGAATTGTTTGTGTCAGCCATCAGGGTGTGGTGTTTGTGTCAAAGCCATCAAGGTGTGGTGTTTGTGTCAACCATCAAGGTGTGGTAACCGCCATCAGGTGTGGTGTATGTGTCAACCGTAAAAGGTGTGGTGTTTGTGTGTCAGCCATCAAAGATTGTAGTGTTTTGTGTCAGCCATCCAAGATTGTGGTGTTTGTGTCAACCATCAAGGAGTGTGGTGTTTGTGTCAGCCATCAAGAGATTGTGGTGTTTGTGTCAACCATCAAGATTGTGAGAGTGTTTATTAATATACATCAAGGTGTAGTGTTTGTGTCAACCATCAGGTGTGGTGTTTGTGTGTCAACCATCAAGGTGTGGTGTTTGTGTCATCAAGATTATTGATTGTTTTGTATTCAGCTTATCGGGTGTGAATTGTATGTCAACCATCAAAGGTGTGGTGTTTTGTGTCAGCCATCAAGGTGTGGTGTTTGTGTCAACCATCAAGGTGTGGTGTTTTGTGAAATAAACCCATCGGAATTATTGGTGTTTGTGTCAGCCATCAGGTGTGTTGTATGTTGTCAACCCATCAGGTGTGGTGTTTGTCAGCCATCAAGATTATTGGTGTTTGTGTCAACCATCAAGGTGTGGTGTTTGTGTCCAACCATCAGGTGTGGTGTTTGTGTCAACCCATCAGGGTGTGGTGTTTGTGTCAACCATCCAAAGATTATTGGTGTTTTGTGTCAACCATCAGGTGTGGTGTTTGTGTCAATCATCAAGGTGTATTGAATTGTTTGTGTGTCAACCATCAAGATTATTGGTGTTTTGTGTCAACCATCAAGGTGTGTTTGTGTCAACCCATCAGGTGTGGTGTTTGTGTCAGCCATCAAGGTGTAGTGTGTATCAACCATCCCAGGTGTGGTGTTTGTGTCAGCCATCAGGTGTGGTGTTGTGCAATAAACCATCAAGGTGTGGTGTTTGTGTCAACCATCAGGTGTGTGTTTGTGTCAACCATCAGGGTGTGGTGTTTTGTGTCAGCCATCAAGGGTGTGGTAACCATCAAGGGTGTGGTGTTTGTGTCAACCCATCAAGATTATTGGTGTTTGTGTCAACCATCAAGGTGTGTGCTCCATCAAGGTGTAGTGTTTGTGTCAACCATCAAGGTGTGGTGTTTGTCAACTTCATCAAAGATTATGGTGTATGTGTCAACCATCAAGGTGTGGTGTTTGTGTCAACCATCAAGGTGTGGTGTTTGTGTCAACCATCAAGGTGTGAAAGTAACCATTCCAGGTGTGGTGTTTACATATGCATCAAGGTGTGGTGTTTTGTGTCAGCCATCAGGTGTGGTGTTTTGTGTCAACCATCAAGGTGTGGTGTATGTGTGTCCAGCCATCAAGGTGTGGTGTTTGTGTCAAGCCATCAAGGTGTGGTGTTTGTGTCAACCATCAGGTGTGGTGTGTGTCAACCATCAGGTGTGTGTTTGTGTCAACCATCAAGGGTGTGGTGTATGTAGTCAACCATCAAAGGTGTGGTGTTTGGTAGCCAACCATCAAAGGTGTGGTGTATGTCAACCATCAAGGTGTGGTGTTTGTGTCAGCCATCAAGGTGTGGTCTGTATGTGTATCCAACCATCAAGGTGCCAATTGTTTGTGTCAACCATCAAGGTGTGGCGGTGTTTATTGTCAACCATCAAGGTGTGGTGTTTGTGTCAGCCATCAGGTGTGGTGTTTATGTAGCCAGCCATCCAGGTGTGGTGTTTGTGTCAACCATCAAGGGTGTGGTAACCATCAAGGTGTGCCATCAAGGTGTGATTGTTTGTGTCCAGCCATCAGGTGTGGTGTTTGTGTCAGCCATCCAAGGTGTGGTGTTTTGTGTCCAGCCATCAAAGATTGGTGTTTGTGGCTTCAACCATCAAGGTGTGGTGTTTGTGTCAACCATCAGGTGTGGTGTTTGTAATCAACCATCAAGGTGTGGTGTTTGTGTCAACCATCAAGGTGTATTGTTTGTGTCAACCATCAGGTGTGTGTTTGTGTCATGCATCAGGTGTGGTGTTTGTGTCAGCCATCAAGGTGTAATTTGTTTGTGTCAACCATCAAGATTGTGGTAACCATCAGGTGTGGTGTTTGTGTGGCCATCAGGGTGTGGTGTTTGTGTCAACCATCAGGAATTGTGGTAACCATCCAGATTGTGGTGTTTGTGTCCTTCATCAAGGTGTGGTGTTGTGTCAGCCATCAAAAGGTGTAGTGTTTGTGTCCAACCATCAAAATTAGTGGTGTTTGTGTCAACCATCAAGGAATTAGCCAATTGTTTGTGTCAACCATCCCAAGGTGTAGGTAACTATCAGGTGTGGGCCTGTGTCAACCATCAGGTGTGGTGTTTGTGTCAGCCATCCAAGGTGTGGTGTTTGTGTCCAACCTGCATCAAGGTGTGGTAACCATCAAGGTGTGGTGTATGTGTCCAACCATCAAGGTATGTTTGTGTCCATGCATCAAAAGGTGTGGTAACCCATCAGGTGTGGTAACCATCAAGGAGTGTGAATTGTTGTGTCCAACCATCAAGGTGTGGTGTTTGTGTCAACCATCCCAGGGGTGTGGTAACCATAAGGTGTGGTAACCCATCAAGGTGTGGTGTTTGTGTCAGCCATCAGGTGTGGTAACCATAGGGTAGTATTGTTGTATGCAACCATCAGGTGTGAGTGTTTTATTGTCAACGCCAGGGGCTATTCAGCATCAAGTGTGGTAAGCCATCAAGGTGTGTCAACCATCAAGGTGTGACATCAAGGTGTGGTAACCATCAAGGTGTGGTAACCATCAAGGTGTCAACCATCAAAAGGTGTGGTGTATGTGTCAACCATCAAAAAGGTGTGGTAACCATCAAGGTGTGTCAACCATCAGTGTGGTTTCACCCAACAGGTTCGCTGACACACCAGTGCTGGAGGGGCTGAGTGTCCATGGGTCAGTACGTCTACATCCTGCTGGCCACTGTGTCCTCCGTCCACCGCATACGTCTGCCCCACCTCACACAACTCAGGTACTGTAGGCTACTCTACTGTAGGCTGCTCTGTGTGGCTCTGCTGTAGGCTGCTCTGCTGTAGGCCTACTCACGAGGCTGCTCTCCAGGCTGCTCTACTGTAGGCTGCTCTACTGGAGGCTGCTCTACTGGAGCTGCTCTGCTAGGCTGCTCTACTGTAGGCTGCTCTACTGGGGCTGCTCTACTTAGGCTGCTCTGCTGTAGACGCTCTACTGTAAGCTGCTCTCTGCAGGCTGCTCCTACTGTAGGCTGCTCTGCTGTGGGCTGCTCTACTGTGGGCTGCTCTGCAGCCCAGGCTGCTCTACTGTAGGCTGCTCTGCTGTATGCTGCTCTACTGTAGGCTGCTCTACTGTAGGCTGCTCACTGTAGGCTGCTCTACTGTGGGTTGCTCCTCATGGAGTTGCTCACTGTAGGCTCTGTAGGCTGCTCTACTGTAGGCTGCTCTAGTAGGCTGCCTCTGCTGTAGGCTGCTCTACTGTGGGTTGCTCTACTGTAGGCTGCTCTGCTGTAGGCTGCTCTGCTGTAGGCTGCTCTGCTGTAGGCTGCTCTGCTGTGGGTTGCTCTACTGAGGCTGCTCCTACTGTAGGCTGCTCTACTGTAGGCTGCTCTGCTGTGGGCTGCTCTACTGTAGGCTGCTCTACTGTAGGCTGCTCTGCTGTAGGCTGTCACTGTAGGCCTGCTCTACTGAGGCTGCTCTACTGTGAGCTGCTCTACTGTGGGCTGCTCTGCTGGGCTGCTCTGCTGTAGGCTGCTCTACTGTAGGCTGCTCTACTGTGGGCTGCTCTACTGTGGGCTGCTCTACTGTAGGCTGCTCTACTGTAGGTTGCTCTGCTGTAGGCTGCTCTACTGTAGGCTGCTCCACTGTAGGCTGCTCTGCAGGCTGCTCCTACTGTAGGCTCTCGCTGTAGGCTGCTCTACTGTGGGCTGCTCTGCTGTAGGCTGCTCTACTGTAGGCTGCTCTGCTGTAGGCTGCTCTACTGTAGGTCTGCTCTACTGTAGGCTGCTCTACTGTAGGCTACTCTACTGTAGGCTGCTCTGTAGGCTGCTCTACTGTAGGCTGCTCTACTGTAGGCTGCTCTACTGTAGGCTGCTCTGCTGTAGGCTGCTCTGCTATAGGCTGCTCTACTGTAGGCTGCTCTACGTCAGCTGCTCTACTGTAGGCTGCTCTGCTGTAGGCTGCTCTGCTGCCCCTACTGTGAGCTGCTCTACTGAGGCTGCTCTACTGTAGGCTGCTCGCTGTAGCTGCTCTGCTGTAGGCTGCTCACTGTAGGCTGCTCTACTGTAGGCTGCTCTGCTGTACTACACGTGAACAGCTTCTTGAACTGATTTTTATATATAAAAACTTTAGCAAAATATTTAAAGCAAATATTAATCCTATAACTCTCAGGTTTCTCACAGTTAATGAAAATCCTGGAAAAGTCAGGGAAATTGAAGACCTGAGATGACTTTAAGAAACATGATATAAAACCTTACTTAAGATGAGTTAAACAATGACAGTGTTGTGTTGATTAATGTGGACTTGGGTTTACAGAGTAGACCACAGTCCATATTGAGTGACCTGACCTTCCAGACCCTCAAGGAGTACCACCATCTGTACATCTTAAACAATTACAGCAGCAGCAGGTAACACACACACACACTCTCTCACAGTCCATCTTAAACAGTACAGCAGCAGCAGGTAACACACACACACCTCTCCTGATCCATCTTAAACAGTACAGCAGCAGCAGGTAACACACACACTCTCTCCTGATCCATCTTAGAAGCAATTACAGCAGCAGCAGGTAACACACACACACTCTCTCCTGATCCATCTTAAACAGTACAGCAGCAGCAGGTAACACACACACCTCTCTCCTGATCCATCTTAAACAATTACAGCAGCATGGTGCTTACACACACACACTCTCTCCTGATCCATCTTAAACAGTACAGCAGCAGCAGGTAACACACACACACTCTCCTGATCCATCTTAAACAATTACAGCAGCAGCCCAGGTAACACACACACCGCCTCTCCTGATCCATCTTAAACAGTACAGCAGCAGCTTAGGTAACACACACACTCTCTCCTGATGCATCTTAAACAATTTTAACAGCAGCAGGCAACACACACACACACTCTCCTGATCCATCTTAAACAGTACCTTGGCATGGGTAACACACACACACTCTCTCTGATCCATCTTAAACAGTACAAGCTGACAGCAGGTAACACACACACTACTCCTGGTCCATCTTAAACAGTACAGCAGCAGCAGGTAACACACACACACTCTCCTGATCCATCTTAAACAGTACAGCAGCAGCAGGTAACACACACACACTCTCCTGATCCATCTTAAACAGGTACAGCAGCAGCAGGTAACACACACACACTCTCCTGATCCATCTTAAACAGGTAGCAGCAGCAGGTAACACACACACTCCTCTCCTGATCCATCTTAAACAATTACAGCATGGCAGTGCCCACACTCTCTCTAGTCCATCTTAAACAATTACAGCAGCAGCTTAGGTAACACACACACACACTCTCTCTGATCCATCTTAAACAGTACAGCAGCAGCAGGTATACACACTCTCTCCTGATCCATCTTAAACAATTACAGCGGCAGCAGGTAACACACACACTCTCCTGATTAAATCTTAAACAATTTTAGCAGCAGCAGGTAACACACACACACTCTCTCCTGATCCATGCTTAAACAGTACAGCGGCAGCAGGTAACACACACACACTCTCTCCTGATGCATCTTAAACGTACAGCAGCGGCGGTAACACACACACTCTCTCCTGGTCCATCTTAAACAGTACAGCAGCAGGTAACGCACACACGCTCTCTCTGATCCATCTTTAAACAGTACAGCAGCAGGTAACACACACACTCTCTCTGATCCATCTTAAACAGTACAGCAGCACGGCAGGTAACACACACACTTCTCTCTGATCATCTTAAACGGTACAGCGGCGAATTAGCAACACACACACTCTCTCCTGATCCATCTTAAAACCAGTACAGCAGCAGCAGGTAACACACACACACTCTCCTGAGTGCATCTTAAACAGTACAGCAGCAGCAGGTAACACACACACACATCTCTCCTGATCCATCTTAAACAGCACCATGGCCAGCAGGTAACACACACGCTTTCTCTCCTGATCCATCTTAAACAGTTAGCAGCAGCAGGTAACACGCTACCTCTCTGATGCATCTTAAACAGTACAAGCAGCAGCAGGTGAAACACACACACACTCTCTCTGATCCATCTTAAACAATTACAGCAGCAGCTTGAACTTACACTCTCTGCAATTCATCTTAAACGAATACAACCTTAGGTAACACACACACACACTCTCTCCTGATCCGTCTTAAACAGTACAGCAGCAGCAGGTAACACACACACACACACTCTCCTGATGCATCTTAAACAGTACAGCAGCAGGTAACACACACACACACTCTCTGATCCATCTTAAACAGTGGTACAGCAGCAGCAGGTAACACACACACACACTCTCTCCTGATCAATGAAGCAGTACCCAACACTCTCTGATCCATCTTAAACAGTACAGCAGCAGCAGGTAACACACACACTCTCCTGATGCATCTTAAACAGTACAACAGCAGCAGGTAACACACACACACTCTCCTGATCCATCTTAAACAGTACAGCAGCAGCAGGTAACACACACACACACTCTCTCTGATCCATCTTAAACAGTACAGCAGCAGCAGGTAACACACACACACCGCCTCATAGTGCATCTTAAACAGTACAGCAGCAGCAGGTAACACACACACACACTCTCCTGATGCATCTTAAACAGTACAGCAGCAGCAGGTAACACACACACACTCTCTCCTGATCCATCTTAAACAGTACAGCAGCAGCAGGTAACACACACACACACTCTCTCAGTCAATCTTAAACAGTACAGCAGCAGCAGGTAACACACACACACACACTCTCTCCTGATCCATCTTAAACAGTACAGCAGCAGCAGGTAACACACACACACACACTCTCTGATCCATCTTAAACAGGTACAGCAGCAGCAGGTAACACACACACACACTCTCTCCTGATCCATCTTAACCATTGCAGCAGCAGCAGGTAACACACACACACTCTCTCCTGATCCATCTTAAACAATTTTAGCAGCAGCAGGTAACACACACACTCTCTGGCCATCTTAAACAGTACAGCAACGGCAAGGTAACACACACACACACACTCTCCTGAGTAAAATTCTTAAACAATACAGCAGCAGCAGAATTTAACACACACACACTCTCTGATCCATGTCTTAAACGGTACACAGCTTCAGCAGCAGGTAACACACACACACACTCTCTCCTGATCCATCTTAAACAGTACAGCAGCAGCAGGTAACACACACACACACTCTCCTGATCCATCTTAAACAATTACAGCAGCAGCAGGTAGCACACACACACACACTCTCCCTGATACATCTTAAACAGTACAGCAGCAGCAGGTAACACACACACACTCTCTCCTGATCCATCTTAAACAGTACAGCAGCAGCAGGTAACACACACACACACACACTCTCTGATCCATCTTAAACAGTACAGCAGCAGCAGGTAACACACACACACTCTCTCTGATCATCTTAAACAATTTTAGCAGCAGCAGGTAACACACACACACACACTCTCTCCTGATCCATCTTAAACAGTACAGCAGCAGCAGGTAACACACACACACTCTCTCTGAATCCATCTTAAAAATTACAGCAGCAGCAGGTGCTTACACCTCTCTCCTGATGCATCTTAAACAGTACAGCAGCAGCAGGTAACACACACACACACTCTCTCTCCTGATCCATCTTAAAACAATTACAGCAGCAGGTAACACACACACACTCTCTCCTGATCCATCTTAAACAATTTTAGCAGCAGCAGGTAACACACACCTTCTCTCCTGATGCATCTTAAACAGTACAGCAGCAGCAGGTAACACACACACACTCTCTCCTGATCCATCTTAAACAGTACAGCAGCAGCAAGGTAACACACACACACACTCTCTCCTGGTCCATCTTAAACGATACAGCAGCAGCAGGTGCTTACACACACACACACTCTCTCCTGATGCATCTTAAACAGTACAGCAGCAGCAGGTAACACACACACACGCTCTCTCCTGTTTTACATCTTCAGCAGGCACCCAGCAGCAGCAGGTAACACACACACACACACTCTCCTGATGCATCTTAAACGAATACAGCAGCAGCAGGTACTTACACACACACTCTCTCCTGATCCATCTTAAACAGTACAGCAGCAGCAGGTAACACACACACTCTCTCTGATCCATCTTAAACAGTACAGCAGCAGCAGGTAACACACACACACTCTCTCCTGATGCATCTTAAACAGTAGAGCAGCAGCAGGTGGTAACACACACACACTCTCACAGTCCATCTTAAAAGTACAGCAACAGCAGGTAACACACACACACACACTCTCTGATGCATCTTAAACAGTACAGCAGCAGCGGGTAACACACACACACACTCTCTCCTGATCCATCTTAAACAGTACAGCAGCAGCAGGTAACACACACACACTCTCTCCTGATGCATCTTAAACAGTACAACAGCAGCAGGTAGCACACACACACTCTCTCTGATCCATCTTAAAGCAGGCTACCAGCAGCAGCAGGTAACACACACACACTCTCTGATCCATCTTAAACAAGTACAGCAGCAGCAGGTAACACACACACACACTCTCTCCTGATCCATCTTAAACAGTACAGCAGCAGCAGGTAAACACACACACTCTCTGATCCATCTTAAACAGTACAGCAGCAGGTAACACACACACACTCTCTCCTGATCCATCTTAAAGCAGTACAGCAGCAGCCAGGTACCTACACACACACACTCTCTCCTGATGCATCTTAAACCAATTCGCAGCAGCAGGTACCCACACACACACTCTCACAGTCCATCTTAAACAGTACAGCAGCAGCAGGTAACACACACACACTCTCTCCTGATGCATCTTAAACAGTACAACAGCAGCAGGTAGCACACACTCTCTCCTGATGCATCTTAAACAGTACAGCAGCAGCAGGTAACACACACACACTCTCTCTGATGCATCTTAAACAGTACAGCAGCAGCAGGTAACACACACACACACACTCTCTCTGATGCATCTTAAACGAGAGGTACAGCAGCAGCAGGTAACACACACACTCTCTCCTGATGCATCTTAAACAGTACAGCAGCAGCAGGTAACTTACCTCTCTCCTGATCCATCTTAAACAGTACAGCAGCAGCCAGGTAACACACACACACTCTCCTGATCCATCTTAAACAGTACAGCAGCAGCAGGTAACACACACACTCTCTCCTGATGCATCTTAAACAATTACAGCAGCAGCAGGTAACACACACCACTCTCTGATCCAAAATGCTTAAACGAGGTACAGCAGCAGCAGGTAACACACACACACTCTGCAGTGCATCCCAAACAATACAGCAGCAGGTAACACACACACTCTCACCAGTCCATCTTAAACAGTACAGCAGCAGGTAACACACACACACACTCTCTCCTGATGCATCTTAAACAGTACAGCAGC